AATAATAATAATAATAATAATAATAATAATAATAATAGTGGTAACAATAATAGTGATAATGACAATAATAATAATAACAATAATAATAATGATAGTAATGATAATGGTAATGATAATGATAGTAGAAACAAAAGCGATAACAATAATACTGCCAGTAGGCACACAACATTCGTCGTAACACTGTCACAGAACAGCTTATCGTTATTGCTGCCGTCAAGAGGTCTATGGCCGAGAGATCGCGAGCTGTGTAATCCTCAACACTTCATGTTTTTTTTTGCCCAGAAGGTGTCGTGCCACGCAAAATCAGGGGTTTTCCGTGCTGTCCGCTTGATGTACCAGCAGCGAACGAATAACGATGGGACTGTGCGGAAGCTTTGATGTCCATATGTCCAGCTCAGTGAGCAGTGAAGCAACCCAAGCGGAACACTGATAGCGGAAGAGCACGGACATGTATGTATGCGAAACGGATCGTTATCACAAGCAATGAAAGCAAAGACCAGCAGCAGCAGCAGCAGCCAAAGTTTCCGGCATCGAGACGGGAATGTATTTGAAGGCGGGCAAACGACGACTCACGGTAATTTAAAGATATATTTTACTAAAATTTGAAAAAAAATAGCATCAAATCGAAGTTAAGCAGCCAGACAGGAATGTTCTGGTCCTTGATGTTGTATACATTCTTGTTGAGCGCCACAGCAGGACCCTGTTCGTAGGACGACCGTGGACTGAAGTCAGTGAATGAATATGTGAAGAAGCAGTCCGTTTCATCATCCCTTAGCCGTAAACACAGACCAAGCTCTGCGTGTGGGTAGGAGTGGGAATCATCAGTACAGCGTAACTCGCCGTGGCACCCGGTAGCAGTACGCCAACCAGTGCACAGCGTGTGACGCTACAGTGCATCGGGGACCCCGCACCAGCCATGGTAGGGGCCTCGAGTGCGACGAACGCGCAGTGCAACTGCCTAGATGAGTGCTGCTTTAGCCAACAAGTGGTCATCGAGCAGACGCAGTCTGAAGCTTGGTGAAACGCAACGACGCTTCCAAAAACCATGTCGACGGAGAAAAGA